AGCCTGCTTCTCCCTCTCCCACTCCCCCTGCTTGTGTTCCCTCTCTCGCTGTGTCTCTCCCTGTCAAATAAATAAATAAAATCTTTAAAAAAAAAGAAAAAAGAAAAGAAAAGTTATGTACTTTAATAAGAACGTAGGATAGTGATAATATATTAGGGAGAAAACTGTTTCAGGGAACCTACAAAACAGGACCTTATATCAAACCAGTTTTGCAGGTTCTCTTTATGAAATAATTGCTCTAATGCATTATTCATTTTAGGGTTGTTTCATAAAATACAAGAAGAAATTTTCAGTAGGCATTGATAAAAGATGGTTTGTGTATGGTATGTCAATCAACAGATATTTATTGATAGCATCTTGAATGTGCAGAGGTTTGCAGGTGGTTATTGTGCCATGTATGCTGTGTATAAACTACACTTGTCACTTTGCCAGTAGAGGGAGATCTATTAATCTTATGAAATCTGAATATTAATATTTCTGAAGAGAATTTCTCAGTAGTAAGTGGTTGTTGATGTGTTCCTTAGACTTAAATTACCTTTCATTTGTCTATACAGACAAGATTTATTTAAAATAAATGAAATGCAGAAGCTGCATTTCATGAAAAGAACCTGGTGGGGCTATAGCTGGATTCAGGGGACATAGTGGGAATTTGGGACTTTAGATGTAGAAACTAGTTAGGCCTATCAAATGGCAACAAGAAGCACATTTTCTTAGAACACTGTATTTGGAGTCTAGACTAGATAGTAGTGTCATGAACCTACTTGCGTATAATTTTCCAAGAATTGTTGACTTCTCTGGCATTAGCATCTTCAAAGCATAGTTAAATTTATTTCTCAGAGATTACCAAATAGAGGTGTTTCTAAAAATGTGTATGTTAGATTGGTATGTGAAGGCTTGGTACCTTTAAAAAGATTGAAGGATGAGGGAGAAAAATTACCTCTATATATAGTTACAGTGAGATGCATGGAACTACTTTGAGTATAGAATTAAAAAAACAGTAAAAATGTGGTGTAATTCTTTTGGAGGAAAGGGGAGAGGAGAAGTCTCCAGAAGCAGTAAATGAAAAATTTATCCTGGATTTAAAGAGATTCAGAGTACCCATGTATTTTTTTTTTTTTTTGACTTAAATGTCAGATACTACCTCCATTTTAAAATGTAGAAATTAAAGTTGGTGACTTTTAAGATTTTTAGGTATTTTTTTGTGTTAATAAAACTATTATTAATGTATGTTTCACCTACATATAGTGCCAATATTGTCATCTTAGGGCATCGTAGAATTGCTAGCTAAACAAGCTCAGCCTTCTGATACAAGGTTTTCTTTAAAGCCCTGTTGATTCTAGTATAAATTAAAAATACTAAGAATTCTAAAATGAAGATACTTAACATTTTGCTTCAAGTATATTACAGTTGACCTTGAACAATTTGGGTTTGAACTGTATGGATCCATTTATATGCAGATTTTTCCGATAAATATGGTTATTTTAGATAAATAAGGTATATATTTTCTTTCCTCTAGCTTACTTTATTGTAGAATAAAATAGATAACATATATATCATACAAAATAGGTGTTAATTGACCATTTATGTTATTGGTAAGGCTTCTGGTCAACAGTAGGCTATTTAGTTTTTGGGAAGTCAAAAGTTATATGTGGATTTTCACTTGTGTGAAGAGTTGGTGCCCTTAGCCCCTGCATTGCTTAAGGGTCAACTGTAATTGACAACAAGGAATTGGGAGTAAGGATATAGAGTAGGAAAAGAAATAATGGAATGGATATTTTATAATTGTATGGCATTGTCAGTATGTGTGAGGTTTCCTTAGAGCACATTCTCCAGGGGAAAAAACACCCCAATTATATTATCCTGCTTCGTTGTTTGAAGTATTTAAGTAAGGCATTTAGGCTAGATGATCTTCATTGTATCATTTTATAAAATGGGGTTTAGTCTTGCTAAAACTTTTCATTTTAGTATGTACTAAACGATAAACTTCAAATACTATGAAAATGTGCCAGAGATAAATTGAGGTACTGTTATGCACATATGTGGTTTTGATTGTTTTTCCTTTGTTTTTTCAGAGCGCTGCTGCTACAGCTGCTACCTTGGCACTCCCTGCAGGTGTGACACCGGTTCAGCAGATACTAACAAATTCAGGTAATGAGGAGTAACGGAACCATTATTTATATGTATGACTCAGAAAATTGTACCATCTAGTCTTTGTTTTGGCCTCATTGGAAAGACAAAATCAGTATTTCTTTTACCATTTGACTTAGGTTATTAAAAAAGACTGAGTACTGTAGCACATTAAGTAATAATTACTGCTGAGGATGCAGTAGAGAAGATGAAAATTGCGCTTGAGCTTTTGATCTGTGAATGAGAATCCTGTTATTGAATAAGTATGATTATATAGAAATATTTTTTTACATAGATTTTTGTTAAACACACTTAACCTGCCATATAAGTTAAACTTACTTGAATGAATTAGTGATATCAAACTAAATCCTATAGTATTTTATTGCATTCTGTTTTACATAATATCTCTGCATAGACTGACAAAATTTACTTGTGATTTTTGGCATATTAATGTTGGAAGAATTTATTTACATGGGTTTTAAGTTATTCTCTCTAATTTTAATTATAGAATTTCTTGTTACTTTGTTAATAAGATTCTAAATTTGTAAAGAACTAGAGGTTTATCTTGTTACATATTTTATTAATATATAGTTGTTGCTTTTTAATTAATTGAAGATTCTGTATCATCTAAAACAACAAAGAGAGGGAATCACTTCTCTGTGTTTAAGCCAGGCATACACTCAGTATTATGTGGCAATGATAATTCAGCAAACTTTTGTTTTAAGCATTTTGAAGCTAAGTATCCTGGTGCTTTGGCTCAAGATATTAATGAACTGTTATACTTTCATGTCTTCAGAGCTTTCAAAAGAAACAGCCTTTGAAACATATGATCTTACTGGTCTTATATGACTCTTAACATGTTAGTAAAGATAATTTAAACTTCTAATCAACTTTTATATCTGTTAAAACTTTATTGGAAAAGAGCTTTATAGGGATGATGAGTAAGGAAAAACATTTTAAGCAATGTATTTGAACATGGAGGGAACTGAGAGAAGGTGAGGATTATGTTTGTTGTGTATGGCAGCCCTTAATTGTTAGACTTCTTGCTCGATCATTTCTAGGGGATTTTGGTGGCTTGACATTCATTATGAATTCATTTATTTTGAGATGGTCACTGCTAAAATGGTAACTTGTAATACATACTTTCTGCTTTAGGCCAGCTTCTTCAAGTAGTCAGAGCAGCCAATGGTGCCCAGTATATCTTCCAGCCTCAGCAGTCAGTGGTTCTCCAACAACAAGTTATACCACAAATGCAGCCTGGTGGAGTACAAGCTCCTGTTATACAACAGGTAATAGAATAATAAGTTATGATCATGATGGGGTTCTTTTTTCTTCTCCTGTATGAATTCTTCGGGTGGTTCTCCTCCCCTTTCCCATGGCTTTATCTCTACGAATTCTTAGACTATTCTCCAATGTTGTACATCCTGTCGTTGTAAATTCCTCCTGTATACCTTACAGCTTAACTTAACATTTAATATATTTAAGACTAAATTGTTGTGTCCCTGCTTATCTTTCATCATTCCTCTGAATATGCTTTTCTGTCACCCTCCATCCAGCCTCCTCAGCCTCCCAAGTTATCTGGCATTCATTCAATAAGCATTTACTATGTGGCTGTGTATCAGAGTCTTTGCAAGGGACTGGAGATTTAGAAGTGAACAAGGCAGACATGAATCCAGTTTCATGAAGCTTATGTATTTTTAATATGCAAAGTATCATGAAGTCCTACCAATTTTTAATAGTTCCTTTTTTCCAGACTGCAGTTTTAACATGTTTGCAGTTCCTTCATGTTTGAAACTAGTTTTCTTTTCTCGGACTTCCTCATCATTTCCTTACTTCATGCTTTCCTAATTTCCCACTTAAAATACTATTATTATTCTCTCAATAGTGTATATACTATATATACTGTGTGTGTGTATAAATAAATACTATATATTATCCTCTTAATTGATTTCCCTGACTCTAATCTTAGGCTTTCTAACTCGTTACTCTGTATTTTATAGTTATTGTTCTAAAAATCTTAAAATCTTTTAATGACTTCTCATTGCCTGTTGGAAAAAGTCTAAAACTCCTCAGCATGGTTCATAGGATCTTTGTTTTTTTTATGGATCTTATTTTTTTGATCTCTTCAGGTTTATTTCTTGCCATGCTTCCAACTATCTGCTTCAGCTGCTATTTAGATCAAAGTTAGATCTTTGTACCTACTTCTGTGCTGGGTGTTAAAACTCTTGTACCGTGAGTACAAAGAGGAAAGAGAAATGGTTATTTTCTTAAAGAACTTAGGTACTTTAAAAAAAGAGACACATTACATAATGTCCATATTATAGTATGATAGTAGAGGTAAGGTCAGAGAAGCATTAATCTAGTCGATTTACAGCTTTCCAGATTTTTGTTTGATGCTATTCTTCTACTTAGAATGCCCTTTGACCTTCCTCCTAGCAACTCCCTTTATTCCCCCCAACAAAAAAAGCAACCGAATGGAAAAGCCTGGCTAATCTTCCAAGCACAAAAGAACTCAAGTATTACTTATTAAGAAGGCTTCCCTGACCATACCTTGTCCCTCAAGCTGAATTTAGTCCTCTCTCCTGTGTTCTCTTAACACCATATCATACTTCTGTTACACCTTCTATCTTTTGAGTTGTGTTACTGCTTTGTCTGTTGCACCATTAATCCATAAATTTCTTAAGGGAAATACTGTCTTATTCTGCATTCCTTGAACCTAAAGGCAAGGAATTGCCATTCACTGTTTTTTATTTATCACTAGGTATTCTCTTTTTATTTATTAATACATGTAATTATAGATATATTTATTGTAAAAGATATAGTTAATATTTGTTACTATGTTCTTTTGAGTTATGGTTTACTTTAGAATTCTAGATGCAGAAGCAGAAAGGAACTTTAGAAATCATCTGATCTGGTGTGGGTGCATGGTTAGAATCAGCTGGAGAGCTTTTTTTTTTTTTAAAGATTTTATTTATTTATTTGACAGAGAGAGACTCAATGAGAGAGGGAATACAAGCAGGGGGAGCGGGAGAGGGAGAAGCAGGCTTCCCACTGAGCAGGGAGCCTGATGTGGGGCTGGATCCCAGGACCCTGGGATCATGACCTGAGCCGAAGGCAGATGGTTAACGACTGAGCCACCCAGGCGCCCCAGCTGGAGAGCTTTAAATGATTAGATTTCATCTCACACCAATTAAATCAGAATACTAGGAGTGGGGCCCAAGTACCAGTATTTTTAAGCTACCAGGTGGTTGTAATTTGCAGCCAGGGTTGAGAACCATTGATCCTAGTTTGACAGTGAAGTGACGAAAGCCAAAGGAGGTTAAGTGACATGCCTTTGCTGTATCTCAATCTGGGATCTTAGACAAAACTGGGGCCCAAGACTTCATATATTCAGTGCAGTGTTCTCCACAGGGAGGCAGTGCAACATAATAATTAGAGCAGAATCAGAAAGCCTGGGTTAAAATTTTGCCTCTTCGTGACTACAAGCTTGGCAAGTCACTAAACTTGTCCATACATCAAGCAAGTAAATTAATCATATGTGTAACTCTTGGTTTGGAATTTGCCATGTACATAGCAAGTGCTCAGTAAATGTTTTCAGAAAATCTTTTTTTCCTTCAGAACTTTGAATGGTAAAATAGAAGTGGGATCATTATACTAGTTAAACTCCTTTTATGCTTTGGTGGTTTTTAGCCATATGAGATACGGCCATTTTTGGTGATTCTTCAGCATTTACGCCTATTTCTCTGTACCACAAAGTGAAACTGGGTTTTCTTTTGCCTTAGGTACTGGCCCCTCTTCCTGGAGGGATTTCACCACAGACGGGTGTCATCATTCAGCCACAACAAATCTTATTTACAGGAAATAAGACTCAAGTTATACCTACAACAGTGGCTGCACCTACCCCGGCGCAAGCACAGATAACTGCAGCTGGCCAGCAGCAACCACAGGCCCAGCCTGCTCAAGCACAAGCCCCACTGGTGTTACAGGTTGATGGAACCGGGGATACGTCATCTGAAGAAGATGAAGATGAAGAAGAAGACTATGATGATGATGAAGAGGAAGACAAAGAGAAGGATGGAGCTGAGGATGGGCAGGTAGAAGAAGTAAGTTTGTAGTAAAAGAATTGAAATGAGAAACTACTCAGTCATTTCTTTTACTTGGTGCCAAACTGATGAATTATATTCTATTTTTCAGAGGCTGTTAAGGTGTTATACAATATAGGATTTTAAATATAAAGTTAGATTGTTTTAACCTAATAAGGTTTTTAAATGGTTCTGGTTGTATTTATCATCATAAAATATTGTTTCTTATAGCTAGTAATAAAAAATGTTATCATATTGAGTTGTATTTATAAAGGGGGTAGAGAGAATGCAAGTAATTCTAATTTTCTGGCTTATGCATTCATGATGTGATTTAAACATAAGGCATTGGTAGAACACATAAAATGAGGTTAATCTTTGCCTCAATAATTAAAAAGGTATGGCAACATCTGGGAAGAGAGGAGACTTGAGGAAAAAGCTAAATGTCACAGACTTATTCATAACTTCCTTTTGGTCTGTATTCTATACTAGTTCCTTACATCACTTTATCTACTCTTAGTATCTTTCTTGAGTTAAGCAAACCATTCTTATTCATCTTTAGTTATATATTTCTAGAAGCATATAAATATATCTTTGTTTTCCTCAGTGTTCCTGCTTAACTGGTTACTTGTGTTCAAGATGTTTTTCTTTAAAAATTTTTTTTATTTTTTAAGATTTTATTTTTATTTATTTGACAGAGAGAGCACAAGCAGGGGGAGCAGACAGGCAGAGGCAGAGGGAGAGGGAGAAGCAGGCTCCCCGCTGAGCAAGGAGCCTGATGCGGGGCTCGATCCCAGGACCCTGGGATCATGACCTGAGCCGAAGGCAGTTGCTTAACCAACTGAGCCACCCAGGTGTCCCTCAAGATGTTTGTCTTAACCACAGTTTCCTTTGTTAATTGCTTTCTTCAACTTAAGATGTAATTTTGTTTATTTTAGGACAAAATTCTTTAATGTTTTTAAAAAATACTGTTTCATTAAATATTGAATAGATACAAATGAATAAAAAATATTTTAACATAAAAACACCCTTATGTCCACATCTAGTTAAAAATAATCCCATTACGGGGTGCCTGGGTTGCTTAGTCAGTTAAGGTCCTACTCTTGATTTCAGCTCAGGTCATGCATGATCTCAGGGTCATGGGATTGAGTCTGGCATCAAGCTCCACACTCAGCTCAGAGTCTGCTTGAGATTCTCTGTCTCCATCTCCCTCTGCCCCTCACCCCTGCTCACCAGTGCTCTAAATAAATAAATAAGTAAAATCTTTAAAAACATATAATCCATTATTTTATTAAATTCCCCTGAGTACCTCTCCCCAACCCCCATCCTCTTCCTTCTGTCATCAGAGTAACCGTGCTCATGAATTTTGTGTTTATCATCAACTTGCCTTCATGTATCAACATACCATCTGTATTTATATTCCTAAAGAGCATAGTGTTTGGTGTTGAATGCCCATTTATAACATAAATGGAGTAATTCTCTATTCTTCTGCAAGTTGATTGCCCTTTTTTTTTCCTCTCAAGGTGGTATTTCTGAGGTTCATCTAAGTTGTTGTATATACTGGTTAATTATTTTCACTGTTGTATATACCATAGTTTATTTCTCCATTTCTTTTCTGATGTGATGGGCATTAGGGTTGTTTCTATTTGTTTACACTTACAGTTACAAAATATTTTGGAGTGTGTCTTCTGGGGACACATATGCATGACTTTTTTTTTTTTTTTTTTTTAAAGATTTTATTTATTTATCTGAGAGAGAATGGGAGACAGAAAGCATGAGAGGGGGAGGATCAGAGGGAGAAGCAGACTCCCCGCCGAGCAGGGAGCCCGATGCGGGACTCGATCCCGGGACTCCAGGATCATGACCTGAGCCGAAGGCAGTTGCTTAACCAACTGAGCCACCCAGGTGCCCACATGACTTTTTTTTAAAGATTTATTTATTTATTTATTTATTTATTTATTTATTTATTTGAGAGAGAATGAGAGAGAACACATGAGAGGGGGTAGGGTCAGAGGGCAAAGCAGACTCCCTGCCGAGCAGGGAGCCCGATGCGGGACTCGATCCCGGGACTCCAGGATCATGACCTGAGCCGAAGGCAGTCGCTTAACCAACTGAGCCACCCAGGCGCCCTGCATGACTTTTTTTTAAGCGTTATACCTAACCATTGAATTACTGGATTCTAAGGCATGCACGTTTTCAGCTTTACAATAAAATGCCAAATTGTTGTACTAATATGTCTTCACCAATACTTAATATTATCAGGCTTCTTAATTTTTGCCAGTCTAATAGGTAGACAATGGTGTTTCTTTTTGGTTTTAATTTGATTACTGATGAGATTTAGCATCTTTGATTCTTTCATGTTTTCTCTATAGACAATCAAATATTAAACATGAAGTTTTTCTTGCCTCATTGGCTTAGCCCTCTAGAACAATATTAATTAGAAATAGCAGGTAGCCTTATCTTGTTCTTAATTTTAAAAGGAACCCTTTCTGTGGTTCACTATTAAGTATAATGTTTACTATAGGCTTTTTTTTTTTTTTAAAGATTTTATTTATTTATTTGAGAGAGAGATGAGAGAGAGAGCATGAGGGTGGGGGAGGGTGAAAGGGAGAAGCAGACTACTCACTGAGCAGGGATCCCCATGTGGGACTCCATCCTGGGACTCCAGGATCATGACCTGAGCTGAAGGCAGTCACTTAACCACCTGAGCCACCCAGATGACCTACTATAGGCTTTTTATGGGCATCTTTTATCAGGTTAAAGAAGGTCCCTTTTATTCAAATTAACTAAGCTTTGCTTTGTTTTTTTTAAATTCTAAATGAATGTTGAATTTTGTTAGTTTTTCTGCAACTGTTAGATAATCATAAAATTTCTTATCCTTAATATGTTATTTAATAACTAATTGCACTAATTGGTTTTCTACTTATAGCCAGTTTTGTATTCGTTGGGTAGCACAACGTGATCATTCTGTATTACCCTTTTGATGAATTCCTCAATTCACTTTGTTCGGGACTTTTTCATGTACGTTCATGTACTCTCTGTGATTTTCTGTTCTCATACTCTTCTTGCTAGGTTTTCAGGTTTGTGATAGCATTATAAAATGAATTCTGGTGAGTGCTCTATCTTCCTTGGACTTCCTTTTTTTTTTTAAAAGATATACTTAATTCTCTGAATATTGGAGTATGCTGCTAAAATTATCTGATTCTAGTAATGTCCTTACTCTGTTGCAAGTTATTTCTTTTTGAGACAGTTTGGATAAATTTTATTTTTCTAGGCTACATATGTAAATTTTTAAGTTAACATAAAGTTAATGATAATCATCTTTTTGATGCCAGAATCCTTTGTAGTCATTTTCTTTTTTATATTCTCATTTCTGATTTTGTGCCTTCTTGCTCTTTTTTTCTTGTTCAGTCTAGCCAGAGGTATGTTGATTTCATTAATGTTTTTTAAGAATCAACTTTTAGCTTTATTCTCTCTAGTGTGTTCTTTTCTGTTTCATTAATTCTTGTTCTGACTTAACAGTTTTATTTGTAGAGTTATGATCTGTGTAATGTGTGAGGAACCACCTTTGAAATTGACTGGGACTTGCTTTATGTGGTCAGTGTTTGCATATGCTTCCTGTATATTTTGAAAAGACTTTTTGCAGTTGTTGGTTGTCTTCTATACGTACTATTAGAATTAGATTCTTTGGATATTATATATCCTTACTCATATTTTTTGTGTGCTTACACCATCATCCATTAGTGAGTGAGATAGGTTCAGATCTCCTACTATGATGGTATATTTATTTGTTTTGTCATTATGCTTTTTATATTTTGAACCTAAAAGTGGATGCACATAAGCTTAAACGTACACTTTCCAGTGAATTGAGCCATTTATGATTATGTAGTTTCCTGCTATTTATCTCTAGTAATTTTTTTTTGCCCATACAGTCTGTTTTGTGTGATATTAAAAGAACCGTACCAACTTTATTTTAGTTAGAGTAGCTCCTTTCATTCCTTTACTTTCACATTTTTTGGATCCCTAAGCTTTAGGTGTGTCCTTTTTTTTTCTTTATTTAAGATTTTATTTATTTATTTGACAGAGACACAGTGAGGGAGGGAACACAAGCAGGGGGAGTGGGAGAGGAAGAGACAGGCTTCCCACGGAGCAGGGAGTCCGTTGCGGGGCTCGATCCCAGGACCCTGGGACCATGACCTGAGCCAAAGGCAGATGCTTAACCGACTGAGCCACCCAAGCGCTCCTAGGTGTGTCTTTTTTTATGTGGAATACTGCTATGTATGCTGTCATTTTACAAAATTTTTACATGGGCCAGGACTATTCAGTAGGAAAAGAATGGTCTTATTTAATAAATGTAGCTTGGACAATTGAATATCCACATGCAAAACAGTGAAATTAGACCCTTACCTCACACCTTACACAAAATTAACTCAAAATGGATCAAAGACCTGAAAGTAAGACCTAGGGGTGCCTGGGTGGCTCAGTCGTTAAGCATCTGCCTTTGGCTCAGGTCATGATTCCAGGGTCCTTGGATCGAGCCCCACATCAGGCTCCCTGCTCAGCAGGGACCCTGCTTCTCCCTCTCCCACTCCCCCTGCTTGTGTTCCCTCTATCGTGGTCTCTCTCTGTCAGATAAATAAATAAAAATCTTAAAAAAAAAAAAAGAAATAAAAGTAAGACCTAAAACTATAAAATTCTTAGAAGAAAATAGGGCAGAAGCTTCATAACACTGGGTTTGGAAATAGTTTCTTAAATATGATACCAAAAGCACAAGCAATAAGAAAAATAACAACAGACTTAATAGATGAAAAGCTTTTGTATGCCCAAGGACAATATTCACAAAGTTAAAAGCCTATAAAATCGGAGAAAATATTTGCAAATCCTCTATCTGATAAGGGCTTAATATCCAGAATAGAAAACTTTTAAATTCAACAACAAACAAACAACTCTATTCCAAAGTGGGTAAAGGACTTGAATAGGCATTTCTCTGAGGAGGATATACAAGTAGCCAACAAGCATGTGAAAAGATGTTCAACATCACTAGTTATTACAGTAATGCATATATCAAAACCACAAAGAGATACCACTTCACATTTACCAGGATGACTGTAATCAAAAGAGAGAAAAAAGGAAACGGATGTTGGTGAGGATGTGGAGAAATTGGAACTCTTTTGCATTGCTGGTGGGAATGGAAAATGGTGTAGCTGCTATGGAAAAGGGTTTGGTGGTTCCTCAAAATGTTAAGCATAAAATTATCGTATGACCCAGCAACTCTCCTAAGTATATGTATAAGAGAATTGAAAACTGTTATTCAAATAAAAGCTTGTACATGAATATTCAAAACTGTTTACAAAATCCAAAAGATGTAAATAACCCAAATGTCTATCAATTGATGGATGGATAAATTAAAATGTGATTTATCCATGCAAAGGAGTATTATTTAGCCATGAAAAGGAACAGAGTACTGGTTTATGCTACAACATGGATGAACCTCACACATTATAAGTTAAAGAAACCATACCACACGTTGTTACATGTGTATATCATATGTTTGCATTTATATGAACTATCCAGAGGTAAATACATAGTGACAGAAAACAGATTAATGGGGGGCTGGGGAGAGGTGGGGATGGGATTGAGTGACTGTTTAATGGTAAAGGTGATGAAATTGTTCTGGAATTAGATAGTGGTGATAATTGCATACATTATTTATGTACTAAGTATGACTGGTTGTACACTCTAAAATGGTTAAAATGGTGAATTTTGTTATATGAATTTTACCTCAATAAATTGTTTTTATATTTACATTGATGATATCTATTTTAAAGAATACACACACACACGTGTGCGTGAGGTATAAGCCTAGACTTAATATCATCTTGATTATTTTCCTTTCTTTTTTTTTTTTTAAAGATTTTATTTATTTATTTGAGAGAGAGAGAGCACATGAGAGGGGGGGGGGTCAGAGGGAGAAGCAGACCCCCCGCTGAGCAGGGAGCCCGATGCGGGACTCGATCCTGGGACTCCAGGATCATGACCTGAGCCGAAGGCAGTCGCTTAACCAACTGAGCCACCCAGGCGCCCCGATTATTTTCCTTTCCACTTTTATTTTGTCCTATCTTCTCTTTCTCTGTTAACTAGAAATCTGAGTTATATCTTTTATCTTCTCAAATAACTGAGGTCGGATTTAACTAGTTGGTCATTTTATGCTTTAGTTAGATCTTGGCCTTTAATTCTCTTTGGGACTGAGACCCCCTTCCACTTCACCCTTCCCACATATATCCTTTTAATCTGAATGCCTTAGTTAAACTACAAGCCTCCCCCATTACCATCACAATGGTAGAAATGCTGGTATTATAAATAGAGTCTTAGTCCTCCACACAGAGACAAGCCAGATTCCTAGCCTGTTTTATAGCCTTTTTTTCCTCCTCCAACTTCACCACTGTTTTCCCTTTTACTCTGCTGCTGCTGGTGGTACATAGTACCATTATCTCATTAAACCTTCATATTTTCTTAGGTCCCCTTCTAGGCATCTTAAACAGTTATTGGAGAGAGTAATCCTGTTCTGAAAGAATGAAGGAAATAAACATCTTTTCAGACTTTAAAGTTATATAGCTTAACTATTTTTATTTTTGATTTCTTA